GCTTAGTTATCTCAATTCCTATGCAAGATATGAAAAATATGTCAAGTGACAAAACTCTTATGATGTTATGATGAGCAATTCATCAGTTGACAATTTTTTGATATCTTTTACAGAAATCATGAAAAATTGAATCAAAGTTTAAAAGTTATGGGATCCTTTTATTACAGGTTTTACGGTATTCTATTGTATCCGAGTTCAAAACTTCTGCACTTGGAATTTTTTTTAAACTTATCCCCCAACTTGTTTCCCTCAAAAACCCCATTCTCTCTTCCGTGTTATTCATTTTCAACGTCTTCTCATCTATCATCTCATCCTCGAAAAATTCAATTAGGTCTTTCTCTTTTTTTTCTTTTCTCCCCCTCTTTTCGCCCGCTTTTGCCCAATATTTTCTTTCTAAAAATATAAGAGCTCCCAGAATTTCTTGCTCCAAAATTGATTGATTGGAAAATAAATTTGAAAAATATATATTGTCAGACATTCAGACTCCTTGAGCATATATCCGTTTCCCCTAATTCGAATGTTTTTTTCTTCTCCACTTTTCTTTCTCACACCGGATGGAATAGAGTGACATGTATCCATTTCATTTTAGTTCTCTTTTTTTTTGACTAGTATTCAAATTTTTAGTTTCGTCAGAGAAGAAGAAATAGGAAAGTTCCTTTGGTTTCTAGGAAATAGGCGCTTCCCAAATTTCGTAGAAGAGAGCTAAAAGTCCTAGGAATCGAAAGTTCAAAGTTTTCATGTTCTTGGTGCCTTTTTTGTATTACCTATCTGTCTCACGGTAGCTACCGATCTCAAGGTGGCTAGGAATGGGCTACCGCGGTAGCCCAATTATCTCATTTCCTGTGAAAGATATCAAAAACCTGTCAATTAATAAGATTGTGATATTATGATGAACATTTTGTCAGTCGATCAATTTTTGATGTCTTTTTGAGGAACCGAGATATATGGGATCAAAGTTGACGATTTGAGGGATCTTCTATTAGAGTGTTTGTGGTATCTGTCTTACAGTAGTGTTTAAATTTTGTTCGTCTTCCCGAATTCGTCCAAAAATAGAGCATACCAATTTGAATTTCACTTTTTGATATGCTGCGTAATTAATACTATTGGGTGTTTTCATTGACGTCTTTTGAATTCAAACCCGATGCAGATCCAATAAAGCTGTGCTTGAACGGAGTAAGAATATTATTCTGATTTTGATAACTAGTTTTGTGATTTTGAATTAGGTATTAAAATCGATACCGCAGTATTTTTGATCGACGAGCTGCTGGCCACCCATAGCTTCCGTTTCCCCTTTGTCCCATTTTTGCATGATTTCCGTGTTCTTTCGTTTCCTTTCTCTCTTCTACTTTCATATAGATATTTGCCTTCTCTCTCTCTCTCTCTCTCTCTCTCTCTCTCTCTCTCTCTCTCTCTCTCTCTCTCTCTCTCTCTCTCTCTCTCTCTCTCTCTCTCTCTCTCTCTCT